GTTCCCACGACACTACAGATGTTGGGCAAGATTATTACTTAGTCGACGCGCGGGGCACGAAAGAAAAAGGTTGCTAAGGTAACGCGCCAGTTCAGTGCATGACTTGGGGTCAAACTTCGGCCAACACACACTTGATGTCAGCATCGCCGCGCAGCAAGTTTTGCAATAAAGGACTTGAAGTTCAATTGCGTCCCAAAATTACGTCGCTAATCACTCAGTTGTCGCAGCGTGTGTTGTGTCATGTCCATGATGCACCCCGTTTTGACTTTGGTTTGCTTTTCCTTCTTAGTGCATGTTTTTGTTCACGTAAAATGCGACCTCTCACTAATGTATTGAAACACTTTGAATTTATACTTTGCATGATTATATTTGGTCAACGCGAAACATTATTTTTTCTAAACATTTTTTGACATCATTTTTATCAACGCAGGGTTATTTTTTCAGACAAGATGAACTTCCTAATATCTGCCATAACATTGCCCGGGCGATGCCTAGAAAAATAAAAAAAGGCAGTGCAGCCAGACGGCTACTTTGTAGCCACGTGCTCATCATTTGTTTGTGTACCTTTGCCATTTCACTGTTTCATTTCAAGTGTAACATGGTGCGTGGTCCTTGACGCAGTGCGTGTTCTCTGCCCGACTATATGCCATGAATATCACTAGCCACGAGTCTCAGAGGCACTAAAAAAACGTCCTGTAATCGTGTTCATTGGAAAACAAAACAAATCACTAATAAATTTATGAAAACAGCTCCTTTTTGAATCGATCTAAAAGTACTCTTTTAATTCGCGCACCAAAAACCAATAATTTCCGTTTTTACGCTATTAATTCGTGCACTTGAAAAAATAATTATTTTTACTACCGCGAATTAATCGAGTTTTTACGGTAGTTTGGGTTTGACCATAGCAAGCTGACTTAATTATCATTTTGTTTACATGGACATGTTTATTGTGTATGCATTAAAGAGTGTTTACAACATGAATCTTGCCTGTTTTGATTTTGTATAATGCAGTCATTTCGTTTGTAACTACAGTTAGCTGGCGTACAAGTGATAATTAAATAAATGCGATTGATTTATTACTATATAGAGGCCACCATCTTGAAAATGGCATGAATCTAAATAAGAGACAAGTTGAGAAATGCGTTTTTCAGATTCCTATGAATCAGGAAAAAAATACCACACTTTCACTCAAAGTATCTGTTGGGGTAATATTAGCCAACCGCTAACAAAATTTGGTCGAATTTGTTGCATGCAAATACCTAATTACACAAAGAACAAAAACCAAAATTGGCACTTCAACTCAGGAGCCAATCCGTGATGGCCTTACAGTTAGATGACAATTTTAAGGTGTTTATTAACCCTCGTTCGAATGCAGTCCGAAAACGGGGACTTATGTTTTGACCTCTGTGCGTCCGTACTTCTGTGGTCGTCCGGACCTGTATCTTAGAAATGCCTGGACCAATCACAATCAAACTTCACACATACATCTTACATGATACTATACATATGTACATCAATTTGTTTCACTATCTGATTCAAGATGGCCGAATGGTGACCATTTTTGTTCTAAAAATCATCAAAATCAAGCATTTCTCGGCTGTTTACAGATGGATTTTGGACATTATACGACCTTGATGCACTTCATTTTGTTTTCAGATAAAATTCAAAATGGCTGACTGATGGCCATTTTGTTTTAATAAATGTGCTTCTAGAGCCATATCTCTGACATGCTTTGACTGACTATGTTCGAATTTTATATATTCATTATACATGTATTCAAAATGGCTGATTTTGTTTTAATTAATGCTGTTCCAGAGCAATATCTCTCAATACTCGTTTGGCGATCAGATACAAATGTCAATCATCATAATCATATTCCTGACATATTTATATTCCAGCTATATTACTATACACAAAACCATATAACTAACTAACTAACTAACGGGGACTGTATCATGCTTGGCTTGTTTGTTATTACATGGACCCAAGGGTTTATCACGATGCATGTTGAAAACCTGACCACATTGTTTTTTAAGGCTGTTTATACATTTTCATTTTCTCTCATTACTAACTACTATTAATTGTTCTAGGAACATCCAACCTAGTGTGCATGTCTTTCTGTCTTTCACAGGACACCTTCAGTGCACTCATGTATATCAAATGGAAACATTCATCTATCCTATAGCACATATAGATCATGAAACCATGTATGATAAAGGAGTTATTACATGACAGCCATATCATATGACGCTGTTTCACTCATGAGCTGGGATTCTTGACAGCCATATCATATGACGCTGTTTCACTCATGAGCTGGGATTCTTGACAGCCATATCATATGACGCTGTTTCACTCATGAGCTGGGATTCTTGACAGCCATATCATATGACGCTGTTTCACTCATGAGCTGGGATTCTTGACAGCCATATCATATGACGCTGTTTCACTCATGAGCTGGGATTCTTGACAGCCATATCATATGACGCTGTTTCACTCATGAGCTGGAAAACCTTATATAGAGACCACCTGCTTTTCTCAAGTCAAACCTATTTGGTTTTGATCAACTCAAATAAATGTGTTTTTGCTGCAGTCATTATTTTCTGGTCAAATGTATGTATTGGTGATCTATAAACAAATAAACCAACCTTCATATAAAGATCACCTGTTTATGAAGACCATTTTGAGTGATGTCCATCAGGTGGTCAATATACACAGATTTGACTGTACCCACATTATAACAGAGATTATTGAGGAGTAACCATAAAATATTCACCGGGAATTAAACCGTTCTGTAAATGCTCTATAGTTTTTAACATCTTTTGTCTTTATAGGTATAGAGAATTTGTCTCATTTTATTGGCAAAACTGCCAAAACAACAAATGAGAAAGTTGAACTTCTTGAGAACAGAGATAAAATACTCCGCCAATGTAAGTTTCTTTACCATGTCTTTCCGTACATGTTACACATTCTGATTTTTAAAGTATATCTATGTTATATTTACATCACAGTGAGTCCTGTAAATTAGAGATAGTGTTGCATAGGGGAGCCTAGTATCCATGTATAGATTTTTGTGAAATAAAATGTACATACTAAATACTTTCTTGAGGACTAAATTTCACAATACAGTAAAATACTTTATTTCAGCTGGAATTAATATTTGCCCCTGGAGGTCTTTCTTCCTATGGGGCCCGTTGTGGGTCCCTTTGTGGATCCGTTCTCGCACGGCGCCGGGTTTGTCTCCGGTCGAAGGACTATCAGGGCGAATTGCGTTCCTGGCAGGCTGGGGTAGATCCGACACAGTCGGAGTGAGCTGTCTCCACTGCGGCCCCTTGGTGGGCAAGCAGGATGAAACACGAAAGCATTGCTCGTATTCAAAACATGTCTCTTCTGGGGAGCCCCCCATTCTCTCTTGCTGATTTGGGGGAGGCCGAGGTTCAGGCTAGTTGCACCTGGTCTCCTCTGGGGCCTCGGGCACTGAATGCCAACGGGGATGCTGGCAGCCAAGCCTCCGATTTCGGGGCAGGGTTTTCGGGGCAGGGCACATGTTGCACCTCCCCCCTACTTTCAGCCAGCCAGGGTTCCTCGTGCGGTAATGCTACAAGGATTTTACCCTTAAGTCCGGTCTCTGCTGTGGGTTTTGACTTCCTTCTTACCGACCCACGGGCGTCTCCAGAGGGAACGGACCCTGTCATGAGACGCACAGTCGAACACGCTCTCTCTCACATAGTTGAAGGGAGACAGTACGCTCGCGTCGGATACAGCCGGTACCTCGGGCGTTTCCTCAGAGTTTCCCATCCGTAACGGCTCGGTGAGCCATGCTGTTGGGGTGATGCGGAGTATCATCAATCCTAGTGATACGACGTAGATACCTCCCCCCCCCTGATCCTAAGGCAACCACTTACGGTTGCTTCAACGCTTATGGGATCACAGGCATCTGGATTCAAAGCAGCCTCATAGGCACGTCTCCCCCTGTCTGGCCGAGTGCTGAGTGGCGCAAACGATGTTGATGGGTGGATGTTGGTCAGCTGTGGAGGAGGTACAGTACTCATTTCGCCCAACCTCCCATAGCTTCTGGATTTCGATCGCTTTTTTTTCGCTCGCTTTGTTTAATTCGACCGGACAATTTATAGTTCATTACCTGTACAAGTGTATAATTTTTGTTTTTATGTTGTTAAAAGAAAAATAAATACAATCAGAAATTTATAGAACGACCGTTAAAAAAATATGGTGGATCACACAGCCATATAAAATTCGTAATAATACGTAGAAATAATGTCCACCATAAACAAGATCAAACCAAACATGTGAAATCAAATACGACACTGACACAGACACAACTAATATGAAATAAAACCATCTATTTTTGGTGGAGAACGAAAAATGTCTACTGTAGAGTACGGTATTCGTCCAGTAACCGTGTGTAGTTATGTAAATCCATCATGGCACCTATAACAATATTAAAGAATATCTGCAGGAACAGTGAGTCTGGAAAAAATGACCAATCGATTGTTATAGAATGACCGTACTGTACAATTTGTCAAACAAATACAATAATTGCAAATGTAATGTTGGGCGGCGCCCATCTTACTTGTCCGAAGTTATCGAAGCTGACATCAATGGAGATTGCGTTTTTTAACTAGGCGGCTGGCAAGCGGACTAACACGTTACATAAACTTGTTGAATTACAATTATGGTTTTTATTTTTGCGTCCAATGTCTCGTTATAAAATAAAGTATTCAAATTTTGCAGGGTATTCCGTTTTGCGAACTCAGGGCGAAATACTTCCATGAGCTATTCGTAGTTCACTTACAGCCAAAACAAAGTCAGCTTGTACATTAAATTGTGAGACACGACAAAACAAATGCTGCCAGTGATAGATTTTGTGAATAAAAGAACAAAATAAACGCAATCAAAGGCGCCGACCACACATGTTGGAAATAAATAGAACGCGTTGCTAAGAGGAATCGCACCTGCATCTCGACGACGTCTTAAAAAAATTGAAAGATAAAAAGGAATCAGTGTCGGGAACCATTGACAATGTTTGCGTGAAAAATCCCACGCGAAAGTTGGTGTTTTTTTGCGTATTTTAAGAATACTCAGTTACATCCCGATAAAGACTTTCCGTTCCCAATAAATAATAATAATAAAAAAAGACTTCCCGTTCCCAACATTATGAAATTCTTTCGTCTTTTCTGGGGGGAAAACCCTGAAAAAAAAAAATTATTAGAAATTTATATTAAGAACAGTTCATAACGAAATGTATTCTGTATGTACCCATAAATTATTTTCATAATTACTGATTACACATGAATATTACAGAAAAAAATAATTTGCTATATTATCTATATTTGTGCTTTTTATTTGTCTTGAATCGTGACTGAAAGGAGCTGGATGAAATTACAAACTATGTAGTGTGTTCGACAACTCATGTATGAACAATAACTTTAATAAATATGATTTTACTTGGTAAAAATATTGTATTTTTCTACATAAAAACAAAAGAATTTCACAATGTCGAAAACGGAAAGTCTTTATTACCATAGTGTTGTTGGTAATAGTTGAAAATGAAACATCCATGTGAACCAGCTCATATGAGGTCGAAGGAGTCTGTTTTCAATAGCCGTCTACATCTAACTGCGTCATCGCTAAGTTTCCTTGGTGGACCAGGAGCTCTGTTCCTTGTTTGCACGATATCATGTTCACACAATCGCAGACATTATTTGTAATGAAATGGCACATTTTCTTGATGTTTTAGCGAGTACTCCGCGGGTATATGGCTTGTTCTCACATTAGCATAATTTTCCTCGAGTTCACTCATCGCTTTCCCACATGCATTTCTCGTTCTTTGCTGCTAACTTTTTTTGCACTCTAATATGTTGTTGTTCTTGTCTTTCTAAACATCAAATTTATTTTTGATTGAAATTCAACGAGATCGTTTGAATTTTGAGTTTGATGAAGATTCAAATTTATCCACTTTTACAGTGATCAATATTGCGTTCAAGTTGAGTTACTAGTAATAACAAGCCTGATTTACATTTTTCTTGCGGTGTTTTTCGTCAATGTATTAATAATAAGTGCTTTGGGAAATAGCATAATTATATTGCGTAAGTGAAAGAGTCTGGTGGGGCTGCCAGTGTGTCACAACACGTTTTATTTATTTCCAACGCGCGTGGTCGGCTCCTCTGATTGCGTTTATTTTGTATTTTTATTTTCGAAATGTATCACTGGCTGCGTTTGTTTTGTTTTATGTTTTCCTCTCTTTAATTTTTCGTCCGGCTGCTGCCAATCCAATAATTCGTCGCCGCATGTACTCAGACAAGCGATAAATCGTCACAGTCATTATACTAGTAGTTTAAGTCCAATTGATTTGCAGAAATTCAGCTATGCGTTGATTATATGTGCAGTTTTGTTTTGCGCACACGAGCAAAAGTTAACCTGATAGATTTTCTGAACTACAGCATTCGTATCACTTATGCAAATTGAGTAAGGGTCATAGTGTGAGTTGCGTTCGCAAATAACAAAGTGTCAAATTATTTTGAGCACCGTTTGGAATAAATTTAGTCAAAATCACACACAGAAACACACACAAATACTAGTACTCAATGCATATCACGATTGATTGACCAGTTATATAGCTGCTTGAACTACGCACACAAGGACGTAAATATGTAAATACAGGTCACAGTCCGACTTGCGTAGCAAACGTTACAATGTGTCAAGTGATTTTGAATCGTCATTAAAACCTAAATTTATTACGAATAAAAACATAAGTTGATAGATACAATGTACGATCATCATTACTCCAGCGGTTAGTTTGCAAGCGGACCATGTTTCTGAAGCCAGCCATAGCAAGAGCGAGCGGACAAATGTGAGCGAGCGAACAAGGGCGAGCAATCAAAAGCGAGCGAGCGAGCGAAAAAAAGCAGTCTGTTTCCAGTCAGAAAGCAGCGAGCAGTCGTAAATTAAGCGATAAGCGTTCGGAATAAAAGCGAGAGGTTGGGCGGAATGAGTACTGTGCCGCTTAAGTCCCACGGGTGGGGTAAAATCTTAAGCAACACTTTCTGCTGGACCAAACGCTACCCAACCGGATCCCAAAGCTTCTTCTCCAGACCCCGGTACCACGAATTTCCGTTTGGCAAACCGGGCAAAGGGGACGGCCACGTTCTATGGGCGTTCTCGTCAGCTCAATCTGAGACGATCCATCACATTATTGTGCGCGCCCAGGACTCAGAGGCAGAATGCACCAGCCTCCTAGACCAGGCGACACATTTACTGGTGGGCCACCGCACATCTACGTGCGACATCCCTTAGTGTCACCTGGCTCTCTTGCCCAGGGCTACTACTGTGCAATGAGACGTGGTCTTAGACGTGTGTGTTTTCGCCAGCAAACTGAGTCAGGGGGTACGTCCCCACCTCAGTGACGCAGACTGGACATCTTCCACCCTCTTTGTTCGGGGAGCTTTGGAGTGCAATGAACCAGATGGTTCAGATCGAATCCGCTAGCCAGTTGGCCCTGCCAAGGGTAAACGGAGGGCACCCCAAGCACAGAAAACACAACGCCCTAAGGCGCCGTCCGCTAGCCAGAGTCAGCCAGGAGGCAAGCGCTCATACCCTTCCACAGGAGGGAAGAGTAGCAGCACGCCCCCAGGTGGTGGCTCCTCACCCTCCTCGGGCGGTCGTGATAAGCAGAATAATTTAAAAAAACCTGCACTCAGATTGCCAAAACATGTAAAAAAATACACCGAAAACATGTCCAAATTAGCCAACCAGTGATTCAACATGGCTGCACAATTTATTCCCATACATGCTAATAAACTATGATGTCATGGTAAATTATTTTTTGATGAATTATGAACTACTTGTCATTAGATTTAAGGGGTTATGTTTAGTGCATGACACAGAAATGAAATAAACAATGCATCGTCTATATTCTGTGTTCCATACCTTCCCAACCCTAATGCGAAACACAAGACAATTGTAAAAGTTAAATTGATAATATTATTTTATTTATAAATAGTTGATAGAAACTGTACATTGATTATGACTGATTTATTCAACAAGGAAGTATTTAGTATGTACTGATTTTATTGTCAAGATTTAATTTTGAGAGATTATTTCTCGTTCCAATTCTACACTAATGGTACAAGCATTCATGTAAACTTTGTAGATCGTAAGAAAACGACTGATCTGAAGTGTTCCAAAGTGACAATTGGTACATGTCTTGATATGTGTCCAGAAAAGGAACGCTATATGAGACAAGATCGAAGACATTTGAGTATCTTTGAGATATTACCTGGTACTGAACATAACAAGGTCAGTTGTTATTATCATGCAACTTTAATTCGATATAGCCATTGGATATTTTGCATTATCACACCTAAATGGCAGCAATTTGATCTGTCTCATAGATTAAAACTCCAAAAACACCATCTAAACAAATCTTGTTTAGTCACAACGCCTTTTCTATTTCACCTGGTTTCTTTGCAAGTTTGCTCTTGATTACATTTTTTAATTTAGTAAACAAATTATATCTGTATCCGAAATCTTAAATATGCTACCATCCCCTCTCCTGAGATGGTGCATACTGGAGAATCTATGGAAAGTACTTAAAATGTCAATTTTTGTTGAACATCAATAAAATAGAAACATATTTGTACTAGGAAAAATAGGTTCTCCTATTTCTGACCTTAATAAACTTGTTCAAGAATTATTCACGGAATCTCAGAACAGAAATTTAAGTTCCACTCTTTTAATCTCATATTTTAGGGTTCTGAATCAATTACTGTGACTGTCACTCAAGTAATTACTATTATAAATAGTACTAGATGCACAATAATATTAACTAACTGGTATTATACATATACACTAAGTATGCACTCAATAAGTATGCATCACACCAATCTCTGCATTTCTTGTAATAACCTTGTAATAACAATAGAACTCATTGGTTCCTTGCCAAGTGTGTGAACTTAAAAACACAGTAAAATTCCTCAAAATATTAAAATAATAAAATTAAATGCCAGTGAAAATAAATGTTTTCACAGTACTGATATCTGAAAGTTATTCTTTGACTTCTTTGTTATAGCATGGTGAAGTTCCTCATGTTGACCACATTAGAGCCATTAAAGAATACAGTCGCTCCTCAGCAGATCAGGTAATTTATTATGATCTCTATAGCAAAACTAAAATTTATTATTGCCAGACTTAAGTATGTAATAGAGTGTACCCACTATGTACTATACTTCTGACATCTCTATATAAGACAAAGCAGGCTTTCTTTAGAGGCATGATAATGAAGCTCAAATCAGCAAGTGTCTTCATAGAAGATCTTTAGTAGCTCCCCTGTCAACTTTCTTGAGTGGAGCTTATTATATGAGTGATAATCCGTTGTCCAGTGTGGTCCGTTGTTGTCCGTTGTCGTGCACGTCAACTTTTTCACTTTTTCAACTTCTTGAGAATTACAAGCCTGACTACTCTGATACTTTTGTGTATATGTACCATAAACAGACCATGCTTGGATTTGTTCATTTCATGATGACATCTTCAATTATCTAATTTTGATGAATATTTTTTTTTTCGTTTTTTTTACTGATATCTTACTAGTTTATTCATTTTTATGGTTCGTTTTGCACATGTCAACTAAAGTCAGTCTTAGTACATCATAGTACCGTATTTATCAAATACACTGCCCATAGGTGAAGTTTCTGCAGGTAGGCCATGATTTGGTAGCAAAAAATCATTGTTAATTAATTTATGACTCACAAATTTTTTTAATACTGCAACATGTCATTCTCCATTACAGCAATTTGATATTTACCATTACAGCAATTTGATATTTTCCATTACAGCAATTTGACATTTACCATTACAGCAATTTGACATTTGTCATTACAGCAATTTGACATTTTCCATTACTGCAGTTTGACAGTTTTCATTACAGCAATTTGATATTTACCATTACAGCAATTTGATATTTTCCATTACAGCAATTTGACATTTTCCATTACTGCAATTTGACATTTACCATTACAGCAATTTGACATTTTCCATTACTGCAATTTGACATTTTCCATTGCAGCAATTTGACATTTTCCATTACTGCAATTTGACATTTTCCATTACTGCAATTTGACATTTTCCATTACTGCAATTTGACATTTTCCATTACTGCCATTCGACATTTTCCATTATAGCAATTTGACATTTTCCATTACTGCAATTTGACATTTTCCATTACTGCAATTTGACATTTGTATTACAGCAATTTGACATTTTTCATTACAGCAATTTGACATTTTCCATTACAGCAATTTGACATTTTCCATTACTGCAATTTGACATTTTTCATTACAGCAATTTGACATTTTTCATTACAGCAATTTGACATTTTCCATTACTGCAATTTGACATTTTTCATTACAGCAATTTGACATTTTCCATTACTGCAATTTGACATTTTTCATTACAGCAATTTGACATTTTTCATTACAGCAATTTGACATTTTTCATTACAGCAATTTGACATTTTTCATCACAGCAATTTAACATTTTTCATTACTGCAATTTGACATTTTTCATTATAGCAATTTGACATTTTTGGTAGTAAGAAATGAAAATTATGTTATAAAATTTCACCATTTCAAAAATTTAGCCAATTCTTGGTCACAACTTAACCAGTTGTATCAATTATTCCTTTGCGAGCAAGTTTTTTCAATAGCTTTGCTATGTTTTAATTTATTAGTGACAAATTATATCTGTATCTTAAATCTTAAATATGCTACCCCCCCCCCTCTCCTGAGGTGGTGCATACTGGAGAAGCTATTTAAAGTACTTCAAATGTTAATTTTTGTTGAACATCAATAAAATAGAAACATATTTGTACTAGGAAAAATAAATTCTCCTATTTTTGGCCTTAATAAACTTATTCAAGAATTATTCACGGAATCTCAGAACAAATTTAAGTTCCTCTCTTTTAATCTCATATTTTAGGGTTTCCATTACTGTAATTTGACATTTGTATTATAGCAATTTGACATTTTCCATTACTGCAATTTGACATTTGCATTACAGCAATTTGAAATTTTTCATTACACCAATTTAACATTTTTCATTATAGCAATTTGACATTTTTCATTACAGCAATTTGACATTTTCATTACAGCAGTTCGACATTTTTCATTACAGCAATTTGACATTTTTCATTACAGCAATTTGACATTTTCCATTACTGCAATTTGACATTTGCATTACAGCAATTTGACATTTTTCATTACAGCAATTTGACATTTTTCATTACAGCAATTTGACATTTTTCATCACAGCAATTTGACATTTTCCATTACTGCAATTTGACATTTTCCATTACTGCAATTTGACATTTTCCATTACTGCAATTTGACATTTTCCATTACTGCAATTTGACATTTGCATTACTGCAATTTGACATTTTTCATTACAGCAATTTGACATTTTGCATTACAGCAATTTGACATTTTGCATTACAGCAATTTGACATTTTCCATTACAGCAATTTGACATTTTCTATTACTGCAACATAAAATTTTCTTTTACTCCAACATGTCATTTTCTGTTCAATTCAGGATGCAGCATTGCCTCATGAATTGCGACCAGGGCCAGTATTGTTGAAGACAATGGATTACATACTTCATTTCATATTGGACAACAGCAATGACAAATGGGCCGAATGGTATGATTTTATATGGAATAGAACAAGAGGTATTCGCAAGGATATCACACAACAAAATCTGACAGATAAGACTGCTGTGACACTGGTTGAGAAATGTGCAAGGTTTGTTTTGACTGATTAAACTAAGATCAGTTTTTTTAAAAATATTATGAGGTCATTACGAGGATACTGCAAAGTATGCACGAAGACAGTACAGCAGGAATATCGACCGACAGAGCGGAGGTTGATGCGACCGCGAACTGTCTGAGTGCATACTTTGCAGTATCTTTGTAATAACTTTATTATTATAGATATTTCCCTCCCAGGAATACATTTAGAACAGATTAAGCGAACTTCTTTGTGTTGAGTCCGGTCAAACCCTGGTGGCAGCCATGTTTGTTTTTTATTATAATTAGAGAACGCTTACACACGTAATCTTTCCATATTTGGAATTCGCATGTCCTAGGATGAGGATGAAAATACCAAGTGCAATACCGCACAATTATGGCATGCTGTAACTTATGGCGTTACGGTGACAGATGTATAATAAATTTTATTATTGTGATTTCATTTGTTTTATTTTAATTTATAAGTTATTTTCTGGTATTTCTGTTTTTGGTGATTGTGAAAACTGTGACCGTAGTTAAAATGATATAAAAATTTACGCACATAATAAAATACTACAAAATGTAAATAAAATATATGATTAAAAAAAGTTCATGCTGTTCAATACATCAGATTTCAACCAGCTTGTTCTGTTATACAACATCAGAGATTGTATTATATTTTGATATGTAAGACTTTATTACCAAATTGAAACTTTGCAAAATGTCTGCCCAAACTAATACTATTCTGAAAATGACACAAAATTAGGGGTTTCAAGTTCACACAGATACACCAATACAAAATCATGTGTACCAAAGGCTGATGTTTATTTATTTTTTTTATTTTCAGATTTCACATTTTTTGCTCGCATCGATTATGTGAAGAAATCCTTGGTGTCTTTGATCCTAAGATTAATAGTGAGAATTTAACCAAATGTTTGCAGAGTTTGGAACATCTTTATGTTGATTTGAAAAACGATAATATTTTCTGTGAAAATGAAGCAGAGTTTAGAGCCTATGATATCTTGTTGAATCTGAATGAAGGTGATATTCTAAGGTGAGATATTACTTGTAATACACCAGTCCTATAAATCTAGCTCTGGAACATTTTTGTGACACCAACATGACGTAAATGGGTTATGGCATTATCTTTCAAAATGACTACGATGTGTTTTGTTGTGTAATCGTTTATATGGAACATGATAAAATTTCTAGAAAACATAATCATTATAATGACACTGCGAGAACAGCCTTGTCACGTATCTACGTTATAAAATCTATTTGTTGCTGAATGATGCAACATATAGGACAGATGTATGACAGTGATGTTGTAATGAAATATTTGTCTCAGGTGACAGTCCCTGACATTAAATTTTACTATTGTCTCTCCTGACATTTTTTGTCCCTATTTGTGTGTATAGGGCAGTGTGGTTGCACAACAATTTATCATCTTCATAATGACTTTATAGCGTGTTAATATACTATTATGGCATCAACCAAGCACATGTGTCCTTCAACCAATTTTCCCACAAAATTGCTTTCCTATGTAAATGATTCTTGACAGTGGCTTTGGCATCTCCTGGTAGGATTTGAACATGTGACCTACAGATCTTGAGTCTGATGCATCTAATGCCATCTATCAGACATATGTACACTCCACCACAATAAAAGGGGGTAAAACAGTATATACCTGTTGGCCAGTATCTCTAGTATAAAGATGTATTGATGTCTACTGTTTTTTTTTGTCTTGTGTTATCTAGAAAAGTACAGCTGTATCGTGAGGAAGTTAGAGAATCTATTGATGTGAAACAAGCTGTGAATGCATTCTATGCTGTCAACAGTAATAACTTTGTCAAATTCTTTAAAATTGTTAGGTAAGTCAACTTTATATTTGCTTGAATCAGTGAAACTCATCAAATGGTTTAATATTATACCAAGCTGTTACACTAGTCTAACCACTAACAATAGTGTGTAGCATTTAAATAAATATCAACTTGAAAATGTTTTTATGGTTTTCTACAATGGCTGCAATGAATATTGTTCTTGTTGATCACCAAGATGCATGACTTCTTTCTAATGCACATTTCCTAAATTGTCATGGTATGAAAATTCTCAATCACATTTTAAAGTTGTATTGTCAGCAAAATTGTTGTTTAAAACATTTGAAGAGTATTAGTAAATATAACAGTTATGGCATTCAGCAGATATATATGTCATAAGTTGACTGAACACTACTGAGTAATAGATTTGGTTTTCAGCATCTTGTGTCGTCAAGGCAACAAATCATTTCTCTGAATCTACAATGAAGATGGACTATATTATAAAATTATGTGAAGCATTTTCTACATCAAACTTTTTGAGTATTTCCTGTATAGCCTTTCCTTCCATTTATAGGACGACTATTTTTCTCATTACCATAATGTCTGAGTAAAATTTCAACATCCAACATTATTATTTACTAACTGTAACCTTTTAAGAAGACAATAATAACTATTAATTAGCACGTGGGATCTAATAATTATGCAAATTTATTTGATTTGATTCTATTTGACCTCTTGACCGTACATGTATCTGCAGTTCAATGTAAATACCACAAAATAACTCTGTAATAAGACTAACTCCATCAGATAACATACCAGGTAGTATGAATGAAATGTTGACAGTTGTAATGAACTTAATAGTTCAGTCAATGCAGCTGTATTCAGTTTTCGATGCTGATCTTCAAAGTTGATGGCTTTTGCTGGTCACTACTACATGTATGTGCAAAAATATTTTCTGAAGATATTCATTAAGATGACAAATACACGTCTTTCTCACTTGTATGAAAGCATGAGAAAGCAATTACAGCCTTTCTCAGGGTCCAATCGAGTCTGGGGATTGAGTACAAAATGAACACTCGGGATCAGTGCACATGTGGCGTGTTCAATTATGCAAATTTTTGAATTTCTCACTAACCGAGCTTGGTGGTAAACTCAGTAAGCAATAATTTAGCTGAACCTTTCTTTTCAGCACCTGTTAAAAATGATATACAATAATAAGGTTATTAACAAAATACTGAAATTTATGTTCTCATACATCCTCGGTTTAATAGTTGTGTTTAGTGTGCACCTGATTCAGAATTAAAAACAGCAATGTACGAAGGGATTTATTGTAGCTAGAACAATAACAACATTATTGATAAATATGTCGAGTTTCTGGTATAATTTGTGACATTCCGGTGAATATCGTAACATTCAAATTCCATTTTTGGCCTAATTAGTTACTGAAATTGAAAGGACTTTCAAGTTTTGTCAACAATACAGCTATACGATGTACTGTATGATGAAATGGAATTGTACCGGTATTAAACAGCTTTACGATGTACTGTATGATGAAATGGAATTGTACCGGTATTAATTCTTTATTATTTTTGTATTTATTGCAGACAAACCAAATATCTGAATGCCTGCATTTTGCATCGATATTTCACACAGATACGAACCCGAGCATTGGCAATTATGAATCGATCTTACAGTGTACCAAACCATCCAACACAATATCCACTTCAAGATTTGCTTCGAATACTAGCTTTTCAGGATAATGAGGAGGTGTGTAGTGTTTATTTCTTTCTGTCGTTACTCTTTGATAAAGTTACATTCACATTCTGCCCATTTGTGCGGTACTATCTTCTGGCCACAATGTACATCACAAAATGAAATGAAACTTTAAGTGATCTCATTTCTTTCTCCCAAAGATTGGCACAACATTTTGAAAATTTTTATGCTAACTAAACCAATCTTTTCTGCACATTTTTCTTATAATTCTTCAATATTTCTGGAAATTAATCCTAATTTTGGAGCAAACAGTCAAAATTTGAGTAAATTTTAAATTTTTACTCAATAAATTTGTCTTTTTTCGTCCCAAACTTTTGAAGGAAATTTGTGATAAAAAGAGGAAACTTTTACAACAGTAATACAAGAAATGATTGTTGTCGTTTTTTATGTGTCACGATTTATAGGTCACTTATTCTCTGTATTATTCTCTTTCATGATTTTCTTTGTGTTTAGGCCACAGAATTTTGTGAGGAACATGGATTGGCTGTCAGCAATGGATGTGTTCAGTTTGATAGGTCTACATTTATCCATCCTGAGATTTCAATCACAGCCAAAAGGTCACTTTTTATTATAGAAAGTAAAAATACATCCTGCATTGGTGAGGTAAGATACTGCCCTCAGTGCAGTATTTATTGTAGGTCTGAGATTTCAATCATTGCCAAACGATGACTTTTTATCATAGAATGTAAAAATACATTTCACATTGGTGAGGTCTGACACTGCCCTCAGTGATAATTTATACATTTATATTCTTACATGGCAGGTAGTAAATGGTGGACCACTATCTGATTATGAATTACATAGACCAGTGTCTAGCTTTGATTCTAATGATAGATATATTGGTGATAATACTACGTCTAAAGGTACGAATTACTAATTGTATTGTTAAATGTATTGTTAAAAATGAATCACTGTGTTGGAGTTCTTAAAAATTACACCCAGATGTGCCTCTATTGGAGATGCTATAGATGCAGCTCATGAAATCACTAAATGTGTGATTACATTCAGAAACGTTCTTGACTCTTACAGTGGGTGCCAAAATAAACTGATCATGAAAACTGTCAGTAAATTTGCTGGTGCTGTTTGTTTTGACTTCACCTTCAATGTTTGAAATGTTTGATAGGGAGCTCAAATCTGAAATTAATTTGTATGTTTATGATCAAATAATAATTCACCTGGTTCACATGTAGAACATTCATAGGATTCGATTATTTGTAGTTTCGTATATCACTCAATTCTTTCACTAAAAATGTGACTTTATTTTGAATTCAAATTCTTTTTTCTACTCGCGTGTTTGAATTTAATCGGTTTTCACTCTAGTTTGTAGTCCTGTTTATAATATGTCATCTAAAGTTGTCTACCAGAATCCTGTGATGTCTTGGCAAAGCTCACATGTGGATCTATTGACTGGATAGAGCAACCGTGCTGTTACTCAGATTGATCAGTTTACTGTCCTTGTTTGTATACTGAATTTGGAAATCTAATTTGTGTGTGACTTTGTGACATTCTTTGATAAAAGACACAATTTTGGTATAACTCAAACCCATTAAAACAACATCTCATAATATTCAGCCAACATGTGTGTTCCTACTTTCCTTCTCAACTTGACGTACATGTATGTGTTACAATGGTAAAATAGGAAATTTAAAATCGAGTGTATATTGCATATGATTTTCATGTACTTTGTTGAAGTGTTGACTAAAAGCCCTTGTAAAAATAGTTGTATCCAAAAGTCGCAACTTTGCTTGGAATATTGGTTTGTTCCTAGGGAGATAGCCTTTTTCATGATCAGTTTGTTTTAGCGCCCACTGTAAGTCTAGATCTCATCTCATTTCTGACTTTTTCATGGACCAATTGTTGATATCAATTAATATCTATACATATCCTGCAATTTGTGTCACTAGAACTGCTTGAAGTACAAGGATATAAAATTTTAAAATAAAGTTAACTCAATACTAAATGTATGTATCTAGTTTCAGACATTGTTTCACAAGAGAAGACAGCAATTGATGTTAAACCACAGCCAAGTTCACCAGTGTACATACCTCCTGTACCTCCTGTACCAGTAATGGTACCACCTACTCTAGATATGATATGCTCAGATGAGGTAATTAGTACATATAGGTCTAAAAGCTAGTAATCAGTTGGACAATATTATAAATTAGAAACAGTGATTATTATAACTGATTATTAGTAACTATTAATAGTAACTGTGATACCTGTATATATTTGTTTTAACCACGGCAATATTCTGTGGTGTTCAGTCTATGCCAGGCGTTATTTTGTCAAATCTGATGTGATTGGTCAAAAGTACGCAAAGTATGTTTAATATTGCGTGAAGCAGTATTGATATTTTTTCTTACACTCAATATCAATACATCAATGTCACAAAAGTCAGGCATATATATTTACCACTTGTTAACAGGAGGAATAATATTGGATCCTCATGGTTTGGGTGAAATTCAGGAATTTTTTTTTTTTGAGAATAAAGATCACATTTTGTATGTTTAGATTATAAAGATGACATCACAATTGAAATAATTTTGCTTTTTTGCTTTGATACTTGGTGTATATGTACCTTGTGTGAATCTCTCCCAGCAATTTTAACCTATATCTGGTGAAGTCAATGTGAAAGTACCAGTACATAGGGCTAGAAGGATTAGGCTAGAGGGAGTTCAAGACAAATTAGATATTTGCATTTTATTTCTGTCTGTAGGTTATCAAGAATATTGCCAGAGAACTGTTCTTAGATGTAATCAATGAAAGCGCTTTGCAAATCAGCCAAGCATATGTCTCTAGTGTTCATTTATTTATAAATGTGTCCAATATTGCCATGGAAACCATTTTAGAGGAAGTTAGCTATGATATGACCAAAGATATGATAGTAGATGCGATAAGGGTTGAAGAACTGCAAGAGGAACAAAAAAGGTACAGTATGTCAAACTGGAGACTGTTTGGGGCAGGAAGCCATCACTTCAAAAAAGGTACAGTATGTCAAACTGACGACTGTTTGGGGCAGGAAGCCATCACTTCAAAAAAGGTACAGTATGTCAAACTGGAGACTGTTTGGGGCAGGAAGCCATCACTTCAAAAAAGGTACAGTATGTCAAACTGGAGACTGTTTGGGGCAGGAAGCCATCACTTCAAAATGCCTGCAATTTGAATATGATTATATTTAAACGCTGCAAAGAGCAATTACTGTAAAATACTTTATTTTAGCTGGAATGAATCATTCCTTCAGTGAAAATAGCAAAAATTTATTCCAAGTGAAAATAAAGTATTTTACAGTACTTTGTTGTTGATATTCTGATGATAGCAATGACTATTGGCCACTTGTTACTCAGACCATGTCATTGACAATCAGTTATTTTTAGAAACTTAAGCTATAATTCTGGGTTGAAAAATGATGTGTGGTGGTAGATGAGTGGGTAGATTGGTACAATCTGATTACAGTAAGATTGTAGTGTGGTGGTAGATAAGTGGGTAGGTTGGTACAATCTGATTACAGTAAGATTGTAGTGTGTTCTTTCATCAGACTTATAGGAGATCTTATTCAATGATATCACTGATTAATTTACTCTACCAATCAAAATTTTGAGTTCACTTACTTTAACCTATAATGAGAGTGTGTCTATGACTGAAAGATCTCAAAGTTTATATCCTGTCATTTATAAGCTTTTTTGCCTTGCATGTTTCTTGCATATCATTGTCTGTTGTCTCTTGAAGATATTTTAACATGTGTGGACATATCTGTGAAATAGCTGCATAAAGATGCATGAGTCTTACCAAAATATTGTTTAAGACACAACTGCAAGGGCAAAGTAACGTTACATAAGTCACATAGTGTAATGTGAAAACTAACTGTCACCATTTTGTCGAAATCAATTTTGTGATGCGGACCATAGAACATTGTGATGTAGGATACCAACTGTTATGGGTAATCTCACATCAATGCTATAAAAATAAAAATCAGAGAAATAAGATAGATAGTTACAGCTATTGCCAGTTTAATGTAAACTCACATACATGATATCTGTTCACAGGATAACTGCTGCTGAATATGAAAGAAGTAAAAATGATTCAATTCAAGACATATTTCACGAAATGATAGACGAAACAGTACACGACCAGTGTCGGGACTTAAGTCTTAGGCAAATGAGGTATTTTTTATTCAAATGACTTCAAATATACAAAATATTATGATATTTCAGCATTTACCTAATGTTGGTCAAAATTCCAAAAGACATTTAGTATTTTTCATCATGACTGTTTATGAGTTTGTAAAATATTTAACATTCATTGCATATTCTGCTTTTTATCAAACTTATTGAACACTGGGGGTGCTGTTCAACTATGTTAATCCAATGTCAGACTATTGCGATAATCCAAGGATCCAACATTCTCTTTTGCTGTATTTTTATAATAATGTCATGAACTATGGTGATCAGTAACTTTGTACTATTATGATTTCAGAGATGTTAAAGAATCCTTGAAGAATGAAAGCATAGAAAGAGTTGGTACTTCTCTTATTGTGGATCTTGTTGATGATTGTGTAAGCAAAGAATGTCAAGCTATCAGTCATAAAACACTTCAAGAAGAAGAAACTCTCCGAGATCTGAAACTCTCTAGTATTTCAGACACTGTGCAGAGAAGGATTCGAGGAAGATTCTTTAAAAGGTAGGCTTAATTTGATTCAATATTCATAATTTGTTGCTAATATTTGTACTTTATAGCAACATTGTTGCCAGAACATAGCATGTGAATTAACTGCTGTCACATTTTAAGACCAAAAGAAAAAGAGTTGAACAGTGAAATGTGCACATGCTCAGTTCTGATGACAATGTTGCTTTGAATGTAAGAAACAGTGGATTGTCCAATTATGCTGGATTACAAGCTAATACATACAATCATGTAACCAAAAATATGTTCTGGTCTCTGTCATGTGTCAACACACTGATTTTGGATCCTGTGACTGTCATATTGACTTAATGGTGAAAGCATTTTAAATTTAACAATACTAAATAGACTCATAAATATGGCATAAACAAATATGTATATTTATTATT